TAGTATGAATAAGTGATATTTGGCTTTCATATTTTTTTGCAGGTTATTGCAAACTTTCTGAAAATTTGCTTTATTTTTTAATAAAAACATAGATCTTACAGCAGGAGGAGATATCAAAAGCACATCTGGTTTGCCCCACTGCCTTCTGGAAACAGGTGTTGTTTCCCTTCTCACTGGCCACATAACCATGAGCAACTCACTTTTCTAAGACTCAGGGTCCTCATATAGTAATAATAATATGCCTTCCCTGGCCCCGTGCTGATAGCTATAAGCTTCCAATGTTGTGCTTTCTAACCCATAAAGCAGTATGGGCAGTATATATATATCAGATGGTAATTGATCATTATGTAACAGGTGCCATGACTGAAGCTCATAGTGGCAAATGGGACTTCCTAGGTAGGGGCCACAGAGCCAGGTAGGGGGATATGGAAACCTAGATTCACAACTTCCAGGACCACCTTTCTTTTGACCTGTACTTTAATTGCTTTATATTCGAAGGACTTGCACAGAATTTTCAGTCTCATTTGATCTTTCCCAAGATTAAAGTGGGTAAAATATCAGTCTAGAAGCATTTTGTTCAGTGGATAAAAGAGGCGGAACAGCAGCCTCCCCTGATATTACAGTGAGTGGCTCGAGGAACTACTGTTTGTGCATTTAAACCACGAAGATCTCAAAGGGCCCCGAGTACACTGTTTGGTAAGTGCTTGAACAGGACACGAACACACACTTTAGGAAATTGAAGCCCTTTCGTTTTTTTCCTGGTGATTGGTAGAGTGGCACCAATTTGCATGGGGAGTGCGATTCTTTGGGCCTCTATGATTTTTGCCCTGTAAGAATAAATATTAACTCGTCCTATTTTCACCGCTCTTAGTGTAAGAAATCCATGTCTGAGGGTCAACGTTGGGAGTTTATTTTATGTTCTGGTAGGATCAAGAGCCAGTAACAATTTGGAACACAGAATTTTTGGGTAAATGAATAGAGACTCAAGGCAAGCTTTTTAAATATTTGGGAGGTGGTTGGTACTTGTGTGCCCAGAGTCATTGTGGCATTAGGAGCATTTTGATCCACTAAAATAACAAAGTAATTAGCACCTGCTGTGTGTTACAGCAGGGAATGAGGGAAATTGCCATCCTCTTGGAAGTTTCTGCCTTCCACAAAGTGAAGATCAATGTGCTCGAATGCAGATCTCTTGCCAGAAAGGAGAGGCCCGCAGAACATGTTTACAAATTTAAATAGACTTATCTGTCTATACTCGCACCCTTCCAAGAAGATTCTGGTCTCTACAAGGATGATATTTAAAGGCTAGGCCAAATACTACTTAGCTCTTCCGGACAGCATCTTTTCTCTCCGATGTAGTATTTTTAGCCATTTCAAAAAAAAGTTTCTCAAAAACTTGATGTTACTTGCTATGTTGTATCCCCTTAAAATTCTTATGCTGAAGTTCTGAGCCCCAGGATCTTAGAATGTGACCATATTTGCAGATAGTTTGTGTATACACATACACACACACACACACACACACACACACACACACACACATATTAAGTTAGAATGAGAGTATTAGAGTGGGGCCTGATCCAATAGGACTGGTGTCTTTATAAAGAGAGATTACAACGTAGACACACACAGAGAGAAGACCACGCGAGGACACAGAGAAGGTGGTGGTCTGCAAGCCAAGCAGAGAGACCTCGGAAGAAACTAGTTCTGCTGGCAGTTTGATCTCAGGCTTAATTGTGAGAGTCTGTTTCTGCGGTTTAAGCTGCCCAGTCTGTGGTGCTTTGTTATGGCAGTCCTAGCACACACAGGCATCTGAATTCCCCCAAATAACACCAGCTCTGAAGCTGTGATTTGGCATGGTTGAAATGATTGACATTCTTTGAAAGATTCCTCTGTGTTAGGGATGCAGGTCAATGCTCTGGTAGACAAGTGGAAAGACATTTTCTTGCTACCAGGAAGTTGGCAGGTAACCAAAGTCTCCCTGCCAAAGAGGGGGAAAAAACAAATAAATATATTTAAGAGCCCATTATTAAAAAAAAAAAAAATACTACAATTGTGGCATAAGAAGAGAAATGAAAAAAAAAACATAAGAAATTATCAATTTTATTAATAAGCAAGAGACTGGATTTTGCACTATGGTTGAAAAAACAAAATCTTTTGAATCAGAAAAGCCAATTGTTTGCCCAGAGTCCAGTATTATAAAATTTCTATGTCTTAGATAAATTCTATCATCTCTTTGGACTCAAATTTTCTCTCATACCCTTTAAACAATGATTGTCTCCAATGTCTGACTTTACGTTTTTACAAGTGAATATTGTCTTAATGATAAGGGTTGGGTTTGTACACTATTCTACTACTGCTTATGTGCTAGTCGATTGGAAGAGCGTATTTTCCTCCAGCTTATAAAAATACATATTCTTTGAAGTAAAGGTGAAATTATTTGAAGGAGAGACACAGAAAAGTTACCAATGCTATCAACTTTCCAGGTAAAAAAGATACAGTATGTTGAGCTGTTTTCTATGTTTAAGTGCAGGTGCACATCTCTTTCTTATTATTGATATCATAATTGTTTTATAACTTGGTTTTCAATGAATATCATATTAACCATATTTTCCATATGGTGACCAATCATTGGTGCTGCTTGCCGAATAGTGCTAGTTCTTCTAAATTCAGGGACATGGTGGGATACCCAGCCCCAGAGGGTTTGGATGGGGCCATGACTGTAGTTTGGCCAGTGACGTGTAAGTGGAACTAACTTGTGTCACTTCCGCGGAAGAGCATTTATTTCTGGTGTTTTCCTTTCTGCCGCGGAACTAGCAAAGATGGGGAGAGTGGCTGTTCCCATTAGCCTGTGTGCTCGTTTCTCAAGGCAACTGTAACAAATCACCACAAACCCGACGGCTTTAAACAAAGCAAATTTGCTGTCCTACAGTTCTGGAGGCAAGAAGTTCCAAATGTTGCTCACTCTGGGGGGTGCAAGGAGGAACATGTTCCATTTTCCAACATCTGGAGTTGCATTTCTTGCAACCATGTTGACTCATGGTCTCTTCCTCCATCTTCAAAGCCACCAGGAAAAAAATCTTCTGTCTCTCACTCTGCTCCCCTCTGCTGCTGTTTTGTGGCTTCCTTCTCTTCTGCCTGTAGTCAAATATCTCTCTCTACTACCTCCTGTAAAGATACTTTTGATTATAGTTAGGACTCACCTGGATAACCCAAGGATAATCTCCCTGTCTCAAGCTCCTGAACGTCATCACACCTGCAAAAGCCTTCTCCCCATAAGGTACCATTCACAGGTTCCAGGGATTTGGACCTGGGCATTTTTGGGTGTCATTATTGAGCCGCCCACAGCCCACAGTGAGGAGTGGAGAAAAATTCCCCATCAGCCCCCCGTGGACATGTGATGTGAGCAGTGTATAAACCTTTATTTCTATAAGCCGCTGGGATTTGAGAGGTCGTGGTGGTGGTTATCACAGAATGACTTAGAACATACCAATAATGGTATAATTTAATATTTTTTCTGCAATTTTACTTTTAAATGGCTGCATCTTTTTTTTTTAAAGCTCTCATATCACTATACTCTATCAAAGTTAATTTGATAAATATCTTATTGGAATTTAAATTATGTGCAATGTTTCAATGAATACCCTAATAGAGAAATCACTGAGCGTATCTCTGCTTGCCCTCTCATAGAAAATTTCTAATGAATTACTGGATCAAAGGGTATATACACTTCTGAGGATGTTTCACCCGTGGTTGAAGGAGTTCCGGAAATGTTATGCCTATTGACACCTCAATGGTAGCATTTGAGCAGAATCATTGATTTTTAACCCTCTCTCAGGGAAGGCTTTGGAGAAAGAAAAGCCAGTAGCCTGTAGAAGTTTTAACTCGTTCAATAAGATAAACTTGGGATGTCGAACTGATCAATCCTGTGCAAAGTTTCCCAGTCATTTCATGGATTCTACTAAATGAGGCAGAGAGGTTCTAGTTCATAGCTCTATTTCTAAAATGACCTAGCCTGATAACATTTCGTGTATATAGATATGCAAAGAGCATTAGGATGTGGGGTAAAGAAAGGATGAATTGGCCGGGCGCGGTGGCTCACGCCTGTAATCCTAGCACTCTGGGAGGCCGAGGCCGGAGGATTGCTTGAGCTCAGGAGTTCGAGACCAGCCTGAGCAAGAGCAAGACCCTGTCTCTGCTATAAATAGAAGTTAGCCAAACAACTAAAGATAGAAAAAATTAGCCGGGCATGGTGACATGTGCCTGTAGTCCCAGCTACTCTGGAGGCTGAGGCAGGAGGGTCGCTTGAGCCCAGGAGATTGAGGTTGCTGTGAACTAGGCTGAGGCCACAGCACTCTAGCCCGGGCAACAGAGTGAGACTCTGTCTCAAAAAAATAGAAAGGGTGAATGCAGAAAAGAAATTGGTGAATAAATAACCTTGCTTGGGGGGAGAGGGAGCGGTTCAAGGGGAAAGCAGAGAGAATCAGCATCTATTGATCACTTTTTATAGGGGAGGTCCTAACGTTGCAAAGTATTACGTCTGTTTTCAGTAGCTTCTCTTCTTTCCCCAGCCCCTTTGTAAACTCTTGAATGCTGTCCACTTTTGTTTAGGAGAACTGGCTCTCTGTTCGGAGGGAGGGGACTCATGGGGGCAGTGAAGTGGTGGCTTTCCCACTACCCGGTGGCTCATCAGGGTGGAGTAGGTGGCAGGGCGCAGTGACTCAGCCTCTGCCCGGCAGGAGGTCAGTGTTTCATCTGCCCCAAGCACCTGATCTCCCCTTGCCAGGGCTGAGATAACCCAAGAGCGTGCTAGGAAGACAGATGTCATAGGGACACGCTGCCAGGCAGAGGCGGCAATCATTTCTCTGCAAATTGACTATTGCTGCTCCTGCCCGCCTCCCCCATCCCTTTCACTTCCCAGTACCATCTCGAACAGGCATCTCAGCCTTCATCTGTCTGCTCGCCTGTCTTCTTTGTCAGACCCGGGGAGCCGTTTGGCTGCGATGGCATGGCCATCTGTGCTGTTAGAAAGAGACTCTTTTCTCATCACCTACCTGTCTCCCTCATTCCAGAGATTCTTGGCTTAGGCGAGTCAGGTGCCTCACTTTTCTGGGCGCGTTGCCACCACCTGGGTAAGTTTCAAATCTTGGGCCGGTCGTTCCAGGTAGGAGACTCCACCGGGGACTGTGTTTTCTTGGCAATTTTTCCCCCCATCCTCAGAGCGCTGAAATTTATGTGCCTGTCCCCAGTGGCTCGCTCTGTGGAACCTTCTACAGGAAGCAACTGACTCTTACCGTAATAGCCTGTTTGCCAACGCAAATGAGGCTCAGCATAACCCGAACGGTGGGGAATGACGAATGGGCGGTTCTCCATGTCTTGGGGGAAAAAAAATATAAATCCATGCCAAGGAGTGGAATTCAGATTATTGCACAGGGTTTTCTGGTTTCTAAAATGCCGTCAACAGATACTCAGGCCTGTAGGAATAGCCTCGATTCAGTGGGTGCTGCTCACACTGTTGTAGGCTTTCTTGGGTCATGTATGCTTTCACTTTAAATAAAAAGCAAGCTTGGAAAACCAAAGTCCTTCACTTTTGGACCAACTAGAGTGGGGCAGAGGGGCTGTTTTATAAAAATATACTTCCTGGAAAATACTGAACCCATGAGTTCAGTAGTTTTCTACTATGGTTTAATTTTCTCTTTGAAACTATCGGCAAAGATCAGTACAATTAGTGACTAAATTGGAATATCTTAATGTCTACAGGTTATGTGATGGGAGAACAGCATGAAAACCACCTTTGCAGGGCAAAGCACAGCAACCTGGACTGGAAACAGGGTGCATGACATGTCTGCATCTCACAGCTACTCTTGACAGATTACTCAAACTGCCTCCCTCTTTCATTATTTATACTTGGGGAAAGTACTGGTTCTCTCCTCCCTAGCTTATAGCAATATCATAATCACAAACATAATTAATGGTCATGAAGACCTTGGAAATGTTTGTGGTATCATAAAAATGAAAGGAAAACAGATTATAATAAACCCTCATTCATGGAAGCAGTTTTAATTTAGAATTCCATGCAGTATAGACAGACACACTTCTGAAGTTTACATTCGTGCCATATTGGAAGAAGTAGTTTGCTAAGCAAATTGAAAGGATAAACAGAATTTTTAGATGTGTGTATATCATATACATGTAATTAAAAGCTCTTGAATAATTATTTAAAAATAAGAGATGATAGACCTCTAAATTAACCATCTATTGACACAACCATGTCTTAAAAAGATAACACTTTAAATGAAATCAATTAAATAAGATATCATATTAGTCTCAGGCATTTATTATGGTTTTTTAATCCCTTTTCCTCATCTCTATTTTAGAACTTGGCTATAACATAACCCCCAAATTACATTTTTATTTTTCATTAAAGTATAAAGGAGTCCTGGCTCACATCTTAATGAATTATGGCTACCTGTAAAGATTTCGTGAATGTTGTTGTAAAACAACACGCTATGGTAATATTGGAAAAGGAGCATTTGATTCCCATAAGTGACCTTTGAGTTGGGCTTTACAAACAAATAGAATTTCAGTAGCAGAGATAGAAAAAGAGCAGTCATGGGACATAGAATAAAAAGAAAGTATGCAAGTATATGATGTATTCAAACACTGCCAAATAGTTCACTCTTGTTGGATAATAGTGAACAAAAAAGTAAATAACCAGAGACAACTTCGAAAACAACAAAGCGTGACATGGACCTGCCTTTGGGTACCATGTTTACAGAGTTTTAAATTTGTTCCAAAGAAAACAGGAACATCTGGATGTATTTAAGAAGAAGGATGATATAACAAGATACACAATTTTGGAAGAGTTTCAGTATAAGATCTGAGAATGGCCCCAACATGGAGAAAGATTTGGGGTTAAGACTAGGTCAGGGGTGGGAAGTCACACAAATAACTGGCACACACTTAGTTTGATAAGGTTTCCAGGCTGCGTTAAAGGAGAGCTAATATGAAGCCATTCATCAAAACAATAACATACAGCTTTCATGAGTTCTGTATTAAGGCACTGAGAAATCACTGAGAACTTGTCCATGGAGATATAAAGGGGCTAAAAATAGACCTTGTGGTCAATAAACTGAAGACTTTCATGGAGGCCCCAGAAGTGTGTAGAGTCAGAAGATGGAAGGGTCGAGAACACACTGGAAAAGCTTACAGGAAATGGGAGGTAAAGGAGAGTCAGCGAAGAAACCCAAGGAGGAAGCTTCAGAGGGAAATTAAAAACACAAGGTGTCAGGAATGCTACTGAAGCCAAGGAAAAAGAGAATTCTGGAAAAAAAAAAAAAAAACAACACTTTTGAAACTGCCAGAGGCCACAGAGTCTGAATCAAATGAGGGTTAGGCCATTTACAGTTGATAAATACAAAAGCACTAATGACCTTTGAAAGCACAGTTTTCCAGAGGAAATAATGAGATGACAAAACAGATGACATGCAGCAGAGAAAAACGTTCAGGGCTGAATGATAAGCAACATGGGGAACAAGCATTTTCCTCTTAAAAATGAAATATATGTATAAAGAATAAATTTTTAAAAATCAGGTTGCACGCAATGGCTCATGCCTATAATTCCAGCGTTTTAGGAGGCTGAGGTAGGAGGATCACTGGAGACCAGCCTGGGCAACATAGCAAGACCCCGTATCTACAAAAAAAAATTTAAAAATTAGCCGGTGTTGTGGCCAACACCTGTAGTCCCAGCTGCTTGGGAAGCTGAGTTCGAAGGATGGCTTGAACCTTCGAACAGTTCGAGGTTACAGTGAGCTATGATCACACCACTGCACTCTAGCCTGAGCAACAGAGCAAGACCCTCACAAATAAATAAATAAGTAACAAAAGAGAAGAAGAAAAGATCAGTGGAGAGGGTAGGACTGAGGAATGAACAGATCAAAGAGATGGTGCATAAAGTCAAATCCTACTGTAAGAGCCAATGGTTTTTAGTGCTCAAGGGCAGGTGTAGATCTTGGGGGGAAAATTGCTTTGAATTTTTTGGAGATAGGAAAAAATATATTGCTGCTGACACTATGAAGTTCTGAAGTAATGGCAAAAGAAGTTAGAGGAATTCACATTACTAGAATATGCCCTTCTTCATTGAAATCAGAGCTCCACCAGTGGAAAAGGGTGAGAGGAGGGTCGTGTGGGCACACCAGCAGGGTTGGAAGGTGCACAGACAGCGGAATGGGCTAGGGAGTTAACCATGGATGGGTTAAATATTGGCATCTAGGGCAAGGCCGATGCTGAATCACACACTTCATTGTGTTTTATTATCCATATTGATTGTTTTCTTCTTATGAAAGTAAGACAGGTTCAGCATGAAAATGCAGAAAGGATTATAATGCGAAGGAGAAGAGTGTTCAGCTACAATAATACCAACTAAAGATCAAGAAACATAGGGGAAGTATCCCAGGACTAGTCACGGGTTGGGCTGGGAGGCCTGAGAGAGCAGAGGGGAGAGGTTTAGTAAAACTTAGTCAGATGCACAGCTTCAGAGAGAGGGCTACTCAACAGGATCTAAGGCTGCTGGTAGTTGCAACCTTTGCCTCTGCAGGAATGGAGCTGAGGATGTGGGATTCTAGCTGACCTCTCCTCCTGCCCTCCCATCTACTGCTGGTGCCTCATCGTAGTGGCTGAATCCAAGGAGAGGCCCAAGGGCAAGCGAGACAGGTGATGCCATCCCTGGAGGGATGTCCAGCAGGGCAGAGATGGGTAGGGTGGGTCCGGAGGGGCCAGTGGATGGACAAGAAGTGCAATATATTTTGCAGAATTCCAATGCAGCATCCCTGAGGCAGAAACAAAGAAATCGATGGTTGAGTTCACCTAGCATCTTAAATCAGGAAAAAAAACAAAGCAGGATTTTTTTCAGGGAGAGACAAGGAAATTTAAAGTAGCATGAGATCAGCTTTAGTAATGTAGATTATGGCTCCATGTTGCTCCAAAGGCAATTCTGAAAGACCAGCATTTTTTTTTTTCCTTTATCATTGAGTAGGGAGGAGCAATAACCTACTTGGACTTAGAAGCTCTTTTACCGGACTGGAGAATTTTCAGGATTATTTGGAACAAACATTAAAGATAGTACTGGTATGAAGTCATTAAAGTATCCCAGACAGAATGGACATGAGACCCTGGGTATTACTGCAGATGCACTAGTTTTTTCATATTTTTACTTTTCTGAATCCAGATGTGTCTTAAAATAAAAATCATGTTTCTTTTTCTGCCATTTCCAAAAAAAAAAGGATTTTATATTTAGATTAACTCTTATAACCAAAGATATTTGAGCATCTAGGAACTGTAGTGGTGGAGAAGTTATGAAAAATAAGAACCAGAGAGACTGAGGTTGACATGATAATTACTAAAACAAACTTTCAATCAGAATGCTTCTGAACACTCTCTTGGCAGGTACTTATTGATGCAAATTGAATGGAAGATGAAGTAAGCAGATTGCCATTTAAATCTTAATTAAATTATGACTTAAACATCAGTCCAATCTTTTAGAGTTCTCCATAAACAGGGGACAAAACTAAGCAAGATCAGAAAGAAAAAAAAAATACATTAAGAAGCCGCTCCACTGAATTCTCAGTTTATCACTTACAGCCCAAATGAGGATATGAGGGAAAGCGTATGAAGAAGTGTGCTCTAAAGAGGCCCTGGTGGCCTCTGTGCAGTTGCATCCGTTATGTTTCTGTCACCACCATGCCCTGCTCTGTCATCCACACCAACGTGACCCCACAGTTTACAGGAAACTCCCTGCTACTCTGCCAGGCATCTGTTAGGAATGCAAACCAATCTTTCTAAGAGAACTCAATGCAAACAGACATTATTGGAATTGATACATACCGTGTTGCCCCGAAAATAAGACAGGGTCTTATATTTATTTTTCCTCAAGAAGACACCCTAAGGCTTATTTTCAGGGGATCTGTTATTTTTTTTTTTAAGTACGGTACAACAATCTACATTTATTCAAATAGAGTTAATTCGTTGTTTTCTGGAACATCATCATCACTCTCCAAACCCCGAATTCCATCCTGAATTTCTTGCGGCTCTATTTCCTTTAGAACCATTGGCCCCAATCTCTCATGTGGAGCAA